ACAGTGGAGGATTATGTCATCTCCCTGGCGTGGTCAAGCCCTGCTTTCTTTCATCAACCCATTATCCATCACTTCTCCGCAATGTTACCTGGGGTCATTTGTTAAACCACTTGCGCAACAAGGTCCACCGCCCTGGGACCGTGCAAGAGATTGCGGAGGAAGGTGATGGGGATTGATGGGTTGATGAAAGAAAGCAGGGGCTTGACCACGCCCAGGGAGATGACATAATCCCTGCACTGTGGACCATCACCTGGGCAGGCAAGGGGCAGAGGTCAACATAAGTCTGCTTCCAAGCTGTGTATGTAGACACTTAAGTTAGAGGACTACTATTTACCTATAATGTTTCCTAAAGCCCATACAGCCTGTTCACATACGTTCTGGTGGGGCGAGTGTAGCAGTCGCAGGAACAGGGGCACTGCATCTGGACAGACAAACATCAAAGCATCAAAAACTTGTCCGGGTAGACAGATTGTGCAATTCTGTTGATGACTGATGAGCTCTGTTGCCGGGTCACACCCGCCGCCAAAAAAAATAAACTCTCGTCCATGGGTATGTCATCATTCCTGTGTATAACAGCTAATCCAGAGCTAAGTATGGGTATCAACAAACATTTGACTGAAACAGAATACGGACTCTGTTCTCGGGAATCAAAGCATTTCAGGGGAAAAACATGTTTCACTATATAAAGATTCCTTTTTAGCACACATTCCCATTTAAAGCCTAAACTAATGTACACTCCAAGATCATTTTCTTCTGGTATTTTTCCTTCCTCTTCTCAGGATTGTGGACAGACAGACATGCATGGTTAACATCTCCTGATGCACCTCTGTGGGTGGGACAACATTTTGGTGACCTCACTCAATTCCCAGAATATCCACCTGTCCTCTACCTAAACTGAGATCTGATCAGCCAGAATAACTGTAAACAGCTGTGTCAGGTGGCATGAATCTGATGTTTCTCAGTTATTTGAATGTTTGGCTGGATTATAACCAGACCTTCTTTTCTGTGAACTCATTTTAGATGTGAATTATTCTTCCTTTCCAATAGAATAATT